GGGATTAATGATTGACATCGAATTCAGTTTGATATTCGATAGAAGAATTTATGTTCATATTTATCGATTGATTATCTACTACAGAGTATACAAAGTTTACAGTTGAGCAGTTTCTTAGCTACATTTTTATAAAATCAATCGAATTTTTTCTCACCTGTTAGATAACTTTTTAAGCAGTCGAGAAAAGTCGATATTGTCATTTTAATTGGTGAAGAAGTTTCCCACTTTGATGCCTCGATTCATAAAGATGTGTAATGAAATACCGATAAAATATAGACATATTGCATGTTTCAATAGCATAGTTGGTTTATTTGGTGACATTTTTCACCAGTGATTGAAATAAACGTGCAAATCATTAAAAATTATGGAGTATCAGACAACTGCTTGGTCCTGATTCAGGCCTCCTCAAGCGCCGCACATTCATGAACTCTAGGAAATCTATGTCAAACCTTGTCATCAGTTGAATCCGAATTCCTACTTCATTTAGGAAAGTAGATCTTATGAAATTTGAGAGGATTCTTCATTAGGACTCTATATTAACTGAAAAAGCCTGGGCAACCATACTTTTTTCCTGATTCAGGACTCTATGATATTATTCACTCATGACTATCGACTGTTCATTATTAACTTGTTTGAAAGTAAATTTTCTAATGTTTGATTGGGAAGTCTGATGATAAAAGTAATACCCATTGAAGATACTCTATAATCACTGAGTTATGTAGTGAAATAAAATAGCTGAAAGATAAGCTCCATTGAATTTCAATTCACTAGCTGAATAACATTGTGTTTATCTTGGGGTCTGACGATCATAGGCCAAATTCTGTATGAAATCATGGATATGCGCTACTCATAAACCTTAAGCTAGGATGAAATAGATGTCCAGTGTCCCATGGTTTACAATGGTTATCTGTTAAATGTCAGGCAGTGATGAAAACTGTTTGGAAATCAATCAGTTCCCTGTAAAACTTCCTTGTAAACTATCGATGAAATCCTGAATTGCTTTATTAGACTAGACAACTCAACATCAACGTGGATTTTCTGTGAAGTTTAGTAGTTGAAAGGAATCAGCCAGAAATAACGAATGTATTCACCTGTCACTAACCAATGACTAAGCAAATTTATAGCCTAAAGAAAGAATAAGCTCTTTCGGAGTATCGAACACATTTTGTTAGACTTCTCACAAAGACATATCAGTTTTGCGAAGAAGTAGAAAGATATGAACTACTGAGTTCCGATCCAGTTGCTGAATGGTAACGTGCTTACCTAGGTAACCTGAAGATTCTGGTTAGAAACCTGGAGGGCGGTGTCTTGGATGGGCACTTGTGAGGAGTCCCTTGCTAGGACGAAAGACTTATCCAGTACTCCAAGGTTCTCAGTAGTTCTCAAAACTGGTGTCAGTTTTAAAACAGATACCACCTTAAAACATATCAGTTTGAGTTTGAGTTCAACACCCAGAAACATAAGGACGAAACTATAAAGGACATCTTCACGTCAGTCATCAGGGCAAAATGGGAGATATCGAGTAACATCCCTGAAGAAACCTCCGTAGAAGAACACTGGAACTCTTTGAAAGAGGTGTGGAAAGAAACCTGCACAACCATATTAGAAGGCAGAAGAAAGAAGAAAAGGAATAGATTTCGACGGACATATAAAAGCTGATAGAGGACGGAGAGGAGGATGGTGAAGCAGAAGATAAACCAGTGCAGTGCAGTGGAGGAATGAACAACGAAAAGAGGAACTGAGTACAATGTATAAAACACTAAACTGGACAAAGAAGTAAAGAAGAGTTCACGCTAAGACAAAAGACACTTCTGTGACACACTGGCAAGTGAAGCAGAACATGCTGCTGGTAGGAGAGAACTGGCAACATCGTATCAAATAACCAGGTTACTATCTGGTAGAGAAGAGATCAACGCAGATGAAACTAATGAATGATGGTGAAGGAAACCTAGTTACCAAAGAAGAAGAACAAAGGAAAAGATGAGCTGACCATTTCATAGAGCTCTTGAATCGACCACCATCACCACTTGCAACTAGTCCAGAAATACCACCTGCAACCACAGAACTACCAGTGAACACAAGCCCTCCGACAAGAGCAAAAGTGAACTCCTGAACCCCATAAAACTGCTGAAATGCGGGAAAGCCGCAAGACCAGATGGAATTCCTCCAGAAGCACTGAAAACAGATGCAGAGACAACATTGTGAAACTTCCTAAGAAGGGTGGGCGACCTCAGTCTTTGCAAAGACCACGGTGAAATCATGCTTCTGTCGACTACAAGCAAAATATTAAGCCGCATCATCCTGGAGAGACTAAAAGATGCTCTACATTCAAAATTACGACCGGAACAGGTTGGCTGGCTTCAGGAAACACAAATCATGTGCGGATCAAATTGCAACGCAACGCTACGCATAATCATAGAACAGAGTATGGAATACCAGTCAACTCTTTACCTCAACTTCATCGACTTTGACAAGGCCTTAGACAGTGTCGACCGAGAATTAATTCGGCAGCTGCTTCAACGCAAATCTTTATCAACCTCATTCAATAACTGAATGAAGACGCCATATGCCAAGTAATTCACAGTGGGAAGCACAGTGAAGCCTTTGAAATGAAGACAGGAGTAAGACAAGGCTGCCACCTACTATCACAGATGATCTTCCTGATTATGGTCGACCGGACTGAACTGAACCATGGAACAAACTGTGAGGAGCGAGAAGATGGGCACACGCTGGCTGGAACCATGAAAAACCCTGAAATCAATGTTGAGATCTATTGCACACCACTCCACTCAGCATAAAGCGTCAACCAGATTCAGATTTACAACGCTAATTCACTCAAGTTACTCAGTGCTTCTATGTGATGGTTCACATACTTGGCGCCCTTATGAAAAGCATTTCCAACAAACTACACATATACACCACCAACAGCTGCCACCCACGTTCACTCAATACTGAAGCTCGAAATCACATGGCCAGAATCATGAGAATAAACAACAAGGAACTCACTCTGCCTGACTGTCAACGAACCAACGAAGGAGCCATCACCCAACAAATATGCAGTAGAAGAAATTGGAGATGGATTGGATTGTGTTGGACATACACTGAGAAGACCGATTGGTGACATCACGCATCAGGCCAGACCGTTGAGTGGAACCTGCATGGGAAACGACGAGTTAGGTGTCCGAGGTGAGGATGACATGGAGGAGATGATGTGAGGAAGAAATGAGAGTTTGTGGGCAGTTGTGTAGCCAGGTAAAGGAGACTGTAGAGAAGAGAGTGGAATGTCGACATGCTACTGAAGCCCTATGTTTCACTAGGAACCGAAGGGACAAATAATAATAGTATAATAATGCGGTTGTCACTACTAGACGTAGTATAAACTTCCATAAGAACCTGGGATACTCGAGGCTGTGGCATTTATTTCTCCTACCTTAAACCTTTCAATATCAAATTATTTCAGACAGTGAGCAAATGATCAGTGGTCTTAAGATGATGTGAATTCACAGAAATTACTTTCCAGAACATTTTATGGGGACTTACAGTTAGCCTAAATTACAACTGATGCGTAAAGTTGATAAAAAGTCAGAGTTAATTCAGCTTCTTGTTACACAGTTTAAAGTTCCACAAAGAATTCAACTGCTTATTCACTGAGTATCTTCTTCACAAAAACAAAAAAATATCCAATATAATCATGCCTAGTAGTTGCTCAATGTTTTTTTTTATTTTTGTGAAAATGCTTCGTTTTCTCAATAAACGTCCGATTAATTAAAAGTAATAACGATGAAAAAGTCAGAAGAATAGCATAGATTCATTCAGTTTTATGGATTCTCATCAATTGATGGGAGCAATGTAAATAATCTGGACATTAAAATACCTGAAGTAAGAATATTCAAAGTAGTTATCAGTTTAACAATATAACATTGGCTTTGAATGGAAATGAACCTTCGTGTTGAGTGACTGAAAGCTGTGAAAGTGTGAAGCAACTAACAGGTGGTAGTAATGATGGATATTGGTTAGTAGTGGAATCGAGGATGCGCATTTCGTCTTATTTGGGACTCGTCAGTTACATGTATCTGCCTCCCAGTGAGTGTTGTTCCCATTGGGATTTGGACTTGGGATCGATCGCTTCAAATGCGAAAGCGTTATCCACTACACCACCTAGCCAAGCCACAAGCACTTATACTAAAACTATACTCGTCATACAAGAAAGAGCTGTCGTAGTTTTATGGTCTAGTGGCTAATGCTCTGGCGTTTGAATCGATCGATCCCTAGTCCGAATCCCGAAGGGAACAACATCACTCCCTGGGAGGCAGGTACATGCAACTGACGAGTCCCAAATAAGACGAAATGCGCATCCAGGATTTCACTGCTAACCACTATTCATCATTACTATAATTAGTACACAGGCAATATCGAAGCATTCGCATAGGAGCCCATATACCAATAGAGACCGATCAGTTCGGTCCAACCAACGACGGTTGGTTGACTTAGGAAATGAAGAAAGTTTAACAACGAATTGGTATGGAAATTTTTTTTAAATAAGAAAATTGATGTTTATTACATAACTGATGAAAAGGTTTAAGCAATATGTACTAAGATGATAAAGTGAGTAACTGATCGAAAGAGACAAAGACTGTAGATAGATTTTCCTGCTGACTCACTCCTCGAATCACTAACCAGACATAGGACATCACATTGTTGTGGCACTTAACTACATCCATCCAGTCGCCTATTCTTACACACATCACAGATTTAATTCGTTAACTACTTTTCCATGAGTTTATTTTTTAACTAACTAAATATCTTTCACAAAACAAATGGATTGTACAACGAATTCATTTAACCGCCAACTCAAAAAATAATATTTAGTCATAAGGTATTTCTAGTGAAAATTATGCTATTTCCAAAGGACCAATCAGAATTAGTGAATGCAATTTCACAACTGATTGGTTAGAAATAAGTAGATAAAAGTAATAGCCTGTTTTATCAAGTCTAAAAGTTATTTCTAGAATCCTTAAATCTAAAACGAATTTTTGTTAACTCCTGAACAAACTCTTCGATTATTTTCGAAAAAAATTAAAAAAATTAAACATTTTATGCTTATCAGCGAACAATAGTTGAGGAATTTTTCAACTGGGTAACATTTCTTACAAACGGTAAGTAATACTTGGTATTGTCTTTCGATATGCTTATATATATCGTCTATTATATATGCATAACATTACTTGTGCCCTATGTAAAGAAGGAAACTTAAACCAGTCCCAAATCTAACTGTGAAAATGAATACCTTGGGGCAAAAATAAATGACTACTTGACTCAATACCAGGGAAGATGTTCGATTAGTACAAGTTGTTCCTAAAGTATAATTCTTTGAAATTATTATCATTGTACATATTTTACTACCACTATCCAAGATATCATGAGCACTTCCTAGTTACTGTAATAGGCCTTGGCTTCATCCTTGTTGATCCTCATCAATAAGGTGTATCTGTAACCATGAGGAAATCAGTGTTATCTCAGTGATTCAAACCTATATTACTCAGTGTGAGATTCAGTGATTTTATCAATAAACAATTCAGGTCACGATTAATCCCTGTAGTGTTAATCTATCACTAAAAATAGTCTGTTGATCACGTTTTTAGTGTAGTGACTAAGCAGAGTGATACAACATTGTGGTGCACTGTACTTCAGTGTTTTTAATAATCCTCAAATGACTTAGTTCTGTCATTGTCATTTTCAACGGGTTCACTAGCACATCGACTGTATTCAGTGGCTTAAATTCAAAATCAGTCCTTGGGAAATCTCTGCATACAATGAAGTAGATACCGTTTAGTTAGAACATATCTCTAATAATGTTTTAATTAGCAGTCATTCATGAAAGGGATATAGTACTACAGATGTACTTGAGTGCTTTCTACCTACTCAAGTTGTTCAGTAGCAGTATCCTTCGCTAGGAATATAAGTCTCTGGTTACTTTAACGTCATAGACTTACCAATAAACACGAAACCCAGTTAAAAGGATTTCTGTCTACCACTGCAATCATCCAATATCAAGATGTACTGACCTTAGCAAGTGGAGGAAAATTTCATGGAACTGTATTCATTGTATTCTTTCAGTATACACAGGGTCAAAGTGCTGAGTAAGACACTCCAAGTACAATATCGTTAGATATTACTAGAAGAAAAAGAGATTGGCTTCCTCATACACCATGATTTCGATAAACAATATACTTGAAGACAGTTGTAATCACTTTTTAGTTGTCTTAAACTAGTTACGATTTATTTTTGACTAAACATAAACCTAAATTGTCAGAGTAGAAACAACAATGATGAACCGAAACTCTGTGGAACAATTGAAGTAAAACTGACAACTCATATAGCTATTGAATTTCATAAGTCCTCAGTTAAAGTTTCCATCTAGTAACTCACTGATCTCCATTTCGACTATCTGAGATAGACATGGTTGTTTGGCAGACTAGTGATGATTGAAGGTGAAATGAAAGTTTGGACCGTTATCGGATTCGAACCAGGGATGACAGGGTTTTTGGTTTGATACTCTACCAACTGAGCTATGAGGTTCGACTGCTGACTACATTTTTATTTTACTTCAATCATCGCTGGTTTTATCCGACCATCATGTAAATTCACTACAACCATTCATCAACAACTGCCTACACTGGCTCGTTACTGAAGATCAGATAGGCAAAATAATAAAAATAAGCAACAGGGAACTCTGGCTGGCTGGTAAGGAACAAACCAAGAACCTATCGCTCAACAAATATGCAGTGAAAGGAAATGGAGATGGATTGAGCATACACTGAGAAGGCCGATTGGGGACATCACGCAACAGGCCATGCCCTCGAGTGGAACCTGCATGGGAAACGACGAGTTAGGTGTCCGAGGTGAGGATGACATGGAGAAGATGGTGTGAGGAGGAAATGAGAGGTTGTGGGCAGTCGTGGAGCCAGGTTGGAAAGATTTCAGAGAAGAGAGTGGAATGTCGACATGCTCCTGAAGCCCTATGTTCCATTAAGAACCCAAGCGACAAATAATAATAACGTGAATTCGTGATACGTTACTACAACTTGATCGTACTGACACTTGCTGTCTAGTCATGACTTCTTATCTCAATACCAATCGATGTGACAGAGCATCAGGCCAGAAAACTAATGGTCACTGGTCCGGCTGCGGTCTTAATTTTCATTTCACCTTCAATCATCACCTAGTATCAACTCAGTAATCTATTGTGAATAGCCTACTAAAAATAAGAGTTTTCTTAAATTTCAGTTCTAATTTTTCTTAGACAAACACATAAAGGACTATTTTCCTCTAGATTGATCAATTTACCCAGAGACCTCATATAATCATATCAACAAGTTCTGTCGTTATTATGAAATCAGAAGGTATATACTGCGACGAAGAGTCACTGCTGTTTAGTTTGTTTATCAAACATATCACGTAGTCGAACAGTAATATTATCTTCTGGATGACGTTTAGAATACAATGTTCAAGTTGTATTTTTATGTCAACATGAAACATTCATTAAATTTTCAACTGACAAAACCAATAGAATCTCAAAACATTAGAAAAAGTAGTTCTTTTGATAACAATTCTGGGAATATTTCGGCGTAACTAATGTTATGTGAATCGTAATATATTCAGCGTAGTTAATAGCCGACTAGTTACAGTACTAAGGAGAGAAAATATTTGCTATTTACCATTCTTGATTAGTTTGCAGCGACTTGATCAGCTTCTCTTGATATATATATGTGTGGATGTCTCGAGGTGATTAGTAACTTCAATTTTATATCAAGGATGGATAGTTACTAGTATTAGAATCTAGCGACGATGTTTTGGCCTAGTCGCCACTTGTCAGCTGGGACAGAATCGATCACTAGGATCCAGATGAATCCAGCTGACGAATCGCAAATGGGACAAGACGCTCCATCTGAATTCCACTCCTACCTACCATCTCTCTCTAACATAGAAGTATGTTCAAAATCTCAATTCTCAATAAGACTAAAAAGTGTTCATAATTCCCAATAAAACGGTTACAAACGTGAAGCTCATTTAGGTAACCTGAAATGAAAATCCGAGTTCTCACTGATATCATACAAGCTAACTGATATCTTTCTATAGAAAACAAAAACCTCAATAAATGTTTCGTACTCGTGCAGAGTTATTCAAATAGGCTGCCATTACTAATCAGCTGATTCAAAGTATTCATAGGAAGAGAGATATCCCACTTAAAATTAGACATGCATCAGACATTTCATTCACTTGACCAGGCTCACTGTTTAGAATACAAGTTTCCACTGGATCATGATCATAATTCTAGTAATGACAGATAATGGCGAGCAGTGGAATCCAGGATGCGCATTTCATCCTATTTGGGACTCGTGAGCTGGCCGTACCTGCCTCCCAGAGAGTGATGTTGTTTCTACCAGGATTCGGACCCCAGACCGAGCGCTACGAAGGCCAAAGCGTTACCCACTGGCCTATAAAACCACGATAGCCGCTTCTTATGTCACGAGTATAGTTTTAGTATCATTGTTTGTATTATACAGTCGTTAAAACACAGGTAATATCGAGGCATCCACACAGGAGCCCATATGCCAATAAAGTTCGATCAAATCGGTTCAATCAACGACGGTATGATACAAGTAGTAATACATGATCATGAATGTTTAAGTGCTACCAAGTATTCTCAGACGTTGCCTACAGAGTTGTATCAGCTCATGTACAAGTTAGTAGGCAAGTTAACACTATTATTATTATTATTAATATTATTATTTGTCCCTTGGGTTCCTAATGGAACATACGGCTTCAGTAGCACGTTTCCAGTTAACTCTGTCCTCTCAAATCTTTTGAACCCACAAGCTCTCACTTCCTCCTCGCACGATCTCCTCCATGTGACCCTCACCTCGGACGCCCAACTAGTCGCTTCCCATCTAGGTTTCACTCGACGGCCTGGCCTCACGCGTGATGTCCCCAGTCGGTCTCCTCAAGGCATGCCCAATACAATCCATCTCCACTTCCTTCTACTGATTATTTGTTGGGTGATGGCTTCTTGGTTGGTTCGTTGCCAGTCAGTCAGTCAGTCAGTCAGTCAGCCAGCCAGCCAGAGTTCCTTGTTGTCTATTCTTATTATTCTGGCTATCTAAGCTTCAGTAATGAGCCAGTGTAGACAGTTGTTGATGAATGTCTGTAGTTTGTTGGAAGTCCCTTTCGTAAGGCACCAAGTCTCTGAACAATCACAGAGAAGCACTGGTTTGACGTTGGTGTTGAAAATCCGGATGTTGTTCACACTTTGTTCTGAGTGCAGAAGATCTCCACACTGGTTTCAGGTTGATGAACGCCTGTCTTGCTGTCTTTCCGATCCTGTCTGGCTTTGACATCTTCATCTCTGCCACGTCGCCTGTAGTTGAAACAGTGCTGCCTAGATGAGTGAAGGAGGTTACTTGCTCTAAGTTTCTCCTATTGATGGTGATTGGAGCTTGTTGTTGTTGGTTGTTGTGGTGTTGGTTGGCTATCCTCATCACCTCTGTCTTCTCTACATCCACCAGAAAGAAGTCCCGTCTTCGCTGCCCTGCCTTGCACTGCCTCTTCTGTCAACTTGTTAGTTTTCACCTGTACATCTTCACGTTTGTGCCACAAGACATTAGACACAAGTCATCGTCGGCCAAATCCAAATCTTCTAGGTTCTTCTGCCCTGTCCAGCCAGCGTATCCCCCTCTTCTCACTCCCCATAGTTTGTTGCATGATCCAGTTCAGTTGACCACAATCAGGAATGTGATGGGTGATAGTAGACAGCGTTGTCGTTTTACTCCTATCTTCACTTCGAAGGCATCACTAAGCTTCCCAAGTTAACACTAAACTCTGTCAAACACTATGATCACTACTTCATATAAACTGTTTTATGGTAATCACTGGATTCTAAGAATAAAATTAACAATTAAATTTCTAACAGTCCTTTTAGAACCGAAAAACATCACCCAACCTAGTACTAGCTGCCTAGTTACTGAAAGTAGGGAATCACAAAGTGGGTGCTTCGTTGGATTCTGGGTCTTTTCAGTAACGTATCCTACAAATCACATTTAACATGTAACCAAGAAGTAATAGAAGAATTAGTAGTAAAGAGCTATTCGTGAAATTA